GTGCTGTGAATTCCTACTTTAAACCTTAAATATTTGATTTTAAAATAAAAAGGCAAACATTGACTCTAGTCATGTAGATGAGGCAACCAAACTATCATTCTTACCACAGTACTTGAGGTCTGCTTGAAATGCACCCTAAGAACGTTTTGCTTATTTTGTTTCTCCTGTATCTCAATATTATGATAATGGATGTTATAATACACAAATGTAACCAAAAAGAAGAGAGTGAATAGAAATGGTGTGATAATGTGGACGTTAAGGAGTAAAATATATTGATGGTTTTCTTCCATGTGACACGTCTCTACCCATGTGTGAGGTTTGGTTAATATATGTTGTTATTCTGCTAAAATTAATGCGTGATTCGATGTTTTCAAAAATATATTATTTTTGTGGATCTAAAGAAATATACTGTAAGGCCACTTATTGATGAATATTTTATTTACATACGTAGTGATATTTAACTTCTAAAGAAATGCTTATCAGTTTAGGCACAAAAAAGGACTGTCTTATCTGTGTACTCTTGGAAAGCAAATGCCCTATTGCTTGAGATAAGTTGCGAGCACATTAATTTTCAAGACACTTCTCTGACAAATTTACCTGATTTAATAATGTGCTAAACACTCAATGTTTTCCACTTAGTTTATTTACTACAATATTTAATCTTGATTTTCCACTGTCTCCTATGTTCTTTCTGCCAGTTGTATTCATTTTACATATATTAGCATTTAAATAATCTTCTGAAATAAGAACACAAAGGAACATGGATGGTTAATGGCAGATATTTCTGTTTAAGCAGTTGCATTTCCACCTAAATATTCCGTGGAAATATCATATTACTATTAATTTTTCCTAAGAAGGAAAAATGTGGGAATTCTGGAATGTAAAGAAACATGGGCACTGTTGGTGCTTCAAATATCTCAATTTGCTTTCCAGTATGTGGTAAATATGAATCTGTATATGATTGAGCCATACTTTCATACCTTGAAGAAGGTCTGAAAATGGAATCTCCTAAAACAAATCCTGTCACTGGAACATTGATCAGTTGCAATGTTGAAAAGGAAGACAAACATAGTAGCCAAGATTATATTATCCATAATGCAGCAATGTGCAGCTATAAAGTAATTATGTTAAATACCTCGATGTTTTGGTTTGTTGCTCTTGAACTATTCTAAGGGTTTTTTGAATCAGAAGGTCATGGCAACTTAGCAGAAGAGAGAGAGGAAGTACATTCTGGATTTGGGGTTTCTTTACATCATGGTTTTGGACAATATCCAGCACTTCTTTTGGCTGTGTGCTTCAGATTGACGCAGCTGTCAAGAGAAGGGACCTTCTTTCCTCACCTTCAGAAATGCTGTTTATTTTATTTTGGCTAGAAAAATCAGGACCATTTCAGTTGACACTTGATGATCACTGTCTAAAATAAAATCTGTTCAGAACCATTCTGAGGCTAGAAAACAGCTTTATGGTGAGTTGTTCAAAGCCTCTATTTTCTTCCAAAGTTCAGATTTTTTAATGTGAAGCAGCAATTTCTCCAGCCCCTGTACTGTCGCCTTTTATCTTGCTGAATAGTTACGGAGCACAGCAGAAGTCTTTGGCTGTGCTGCATCACGAACATCATGAACACTCCGAATCCTTAAGCAAGCTTGTAACAGAGGGGACCAAGATCTAACGTGACCTTTAAATGTAGGAGTTACTGTAGAATTTATGAAGCAGATTTTTAATTTTGTTTGTTTTAGCTGAAAGCTAGAACCCTTTTTAAGCAGGATATGATGAACAGCCTAAGTTTCTTAGGAAACTGTGAGAGTCTGTCTCTTGCTCAAAGCATGTGGTAGCTGTGTCTGGAATACATGTGTGCACACCCATGTGTACTGTTTGTAAAGCAGCATAAGTTCTTCTGCATTTCGAAGTCTGAAACCTGTACTTACTCATTTTTCCTCCTTAAATCAAAGCAACAGGAATGATGTTTGTTAATTAAAAAAAAAAAAAAGCCACACAAAAAAACCCGCCCCAAAACCCAGAAAAGCTTGCTAACAGCTCTCATTTAGAGCTGTATATTAGTGCCATATCCTGGTGCTAGTAATTAGAGTATCTTCCTTGAAGTGAATGCCATTGCTAGATACTGAAAATTGTAATGGAAGTGTTAGAATATAATTCCTTTTTTATGTACTTCATGGTAAGTAAGTTACTGAAGATGAGAGTAGCAGCTGTATTTGTATTCTCAAACTTCTACAGACTTGAGGGTGAGAAGGTATATAAAAGATCTCCAAAGGCAAAAGGGACTATTGTGGTTATTTACTGCTCTCTGTCGCAGCCCTGGGCGAAAAACCAAGTCTAATTCCTTTGCTTAAGTGCACCTCTCCTTGGGTAGCTCTAGAGAATCTGACAACTTGCTGAAACTACTCCCTTGGTGCATTTACTCTTAAACATGCTGAGGGTCAGTAGAAGTTTACCAGAAGGAATGATAATATATAGAGTTGTGTCAGAAACAGCACAGAAAGTAGAAGATGGTTGGGGCTGGGATTGTTTTTGCCTCCACTCATTGTCAGCTGCAGATGAGCAGTGTTAAGGTAACAGCTCCATCTGCACACAGGCTTCTTGACCTGTCCAGTTCCAGAATGTTACTTGCCCTGGGAGGAACTTCTTGTAGTAGCGTTAAAAATTCCTCCGGTTCTCAATTATTTTCTGTATTTTTATCTGAAATGGAGTGGTTCTAATATATAAAATTAGTCAAAGTTCAGCCATTTCTGTGTAGTTTTTTTGAGGTGTTGGTCTGGCTTGCCCTTTATGACTTAAAATTCCACCCGTTTCATAGTTCCTGGGGCTCTTAGTAGAGGTGGAGAGTAGGACCAGTAGCGTTCATAGGCATTCAGAGGACATAGCCATTTTTGATTTGATGTTTTGAGAGAATTCCAATTGACTTTAAGCCCCGGAATCAGAAAACTTCTCTAGAAGATTTGTTTTTAACCCTCAAAGTGATTTGATGTTTTCCAATTTAAAATTAATTACTTGAGTGATGCGTTTTGAACAGACACTAGCTATGTATACCCAATTGCCATCTGCATCAAAAATTTGTCACTAAACATTCTCCAATATCACCTTGCATCCCATATAGTTGTGTGTGTTTTAGCAGCAAATGGGTATTTGTTTCTGTAACTTAGTGATTGTGCAAGGAAGTATTTCCAACTCGTGCACTGAGATTTCATAGAGTGAACAGACACGTATTTGTAATATGTCTGTATGATTTGGGTTTAATATTACTGATCAGTATTTCTTGAATTGGATAGCTGTACAGTAAAAGAACTTGAAATCTGGAAGGGAACACACCCTTCAGATGCTGAATCATGAACGTTGGAGAAATGTCCAAAAGTTAGTACGTGTGGGTGCATCTTGCAGTCAGTAAACTTGTATTAATTTCCCAGGGCGTTCCAGGTCTTTGTATTATAGAACAGTAGTAATGGTTTACAGACAGGGAATGTCACAGAACCTTGAGCAAGAGATCGCCGCCTTATACCTCGGGGATGCAAAATGAATTGGTAATGTGGCTCTGTTTTATAAGACAGTCTAAGTATGAGAGTTTCTTTTAGCGCAGTGGTCATGTTTCAGGGAAACAGACATGAACGTAGGAGCAAAATTGGTGATCTAGGCACAGTATCTTGACTTGGGGCTCAGGTGTTGTTGCTTCTATTTTTTTAGTGTATAGTTAACATTAGCAGTCACCCTTATAATGATATGACGTATACTGCCTCCAAGTATGGTGCCTGCCTACTCCTGCCATTAAGGAGGGTTGATTTAATCAGTAACGTGGTCTAGCTTCTGTGACATCCTTTGGGCTGAAGAAGGGAGTCAAATACAGTCCTTTTTTCCATTCTAGCAAGAACTATTTTAGAAATATTTGACAGAACTTATTTGGTCGTTGCTATCACACCTGAATTTGGGTCAAGTTTCTAAGTTAGTTACTTTATTTAGAAAATGGATATTTTAAAGCTATTAAGGGAATACTCTGTGTGTAGTTATAGTAGTGTCAACAAAAGATGTGATTAAATAAATTGAACGTTGAAGACTTTCGGCTTATTGTTAACATCAGGTAATTAAAAGTAAGCGCTGCTGTGGGAGTGCATTATATATCAGCTGTACTCTTTACCTCATTAGCTGGGTTTTTGCATGTTTATGGAGCTAACTTGCAATTAAAAATGCCTTTAACGTATGCTTAACAAGGCCTTTTAGGTATTTGGAATAAAGTGCTACAGTTTAATTGAAATTGGTATAGCATAAATAGAAGTCTCAGTAACGTGAGATAAATCTCCATGCCTAACTTGTCACTTTGCAGCTTTTCCTCTTCTGTAATCTTTAATGCTGACTAGAAGGTCTGACATTAAACTTGTTACAGAATGAAGATTCTCTTTTCAACTCCAGAGAATGTTTTGATTTGTTATATAAGTAAAAATTGACTGACAAGATACACTCAAATTTGTGCCTAAGCCATATTTTTAGGATCCTTAAATGTGTGTACATGCACGTGGATATGCATTGGGATGTTTTTAGCTGTAGTATAACCTTCTTCAATTAGTCTTCTGCATTAGAACATCAGAAGTAGTATACTGTCAAGGCAACCTTCAGTGTCGGTAATTTATCTTAATGTTTTCATTTTGTATTCTGTGATATCTTCTGTAAGTGGTTGCCTGAAGTTTAAACCAAATCTTAGGAAAACTAAGGTGAAAAGTAAAACCTACTTGCAGGTCACTTCTCCTGCTGATCTTCTGTGTGCTTGTTTGTCAGGGACTTGCAGAAGTGGATGAGATATTGAAGTGTACCATAAAAGCCAAACAAGGGTGAGGTGTCCTTTAGGTTAAGGTAGATTGCCAAAGACAACGGAAAAAGAAAATAGGGAAGGAATGGTACTTCTGCAGGACATAGAAGTGTATCTGCTAGATGTGTAAACAAGGATCATGATGTGTGAACTTTCATACAGTACAGTTTACTAACTTTTTGTCTTCATTTAGGAGTGTGGTGGTACCCCCGAAGAAATCAACCATTTCCTCTTCTACAGCTGCTATGGGTATTCCTACAAATGCAGTCAGTGTGGTTTCTTCTTTAGATTCAGCCCAAGCCCTGGATTTGTCAGGAGAGTCTCCTGGTGAGTAAGGGTAAATTAAACAACTCAAATCCAGCCCTTCCTCTTTTGCTTCTCTCTCCCTCACCATTCACTCTGAACACAAACGAAGGAGTTTCTGTTATGTGTTTTATGTTATGTTTGAAGGCGAGATGTTTTTCAATAGTTATATAATCAGTTCTTGAGATATGGAGAGGTATAGATAATCTGTCTATATATGAGTCTTGTTTATACTAGGAATATTCATACTTATTACTGGTTGTATTTTCTTAAGGGAAAATGTGCCAAAAATCTGGGGAGATGGTGTTTTACACTTTCTTTTTCCTTGAAGTACTTAAGTGTTTGCTTATATGGTATTTCATGTCCTAAATTATCAAATCAAACCAAAGGACATTTGAGACCTTTGTATCCTGCGTACTACTTGGTCTCTCTCTTTGTCATAGGCCCTCGTGTAGCAGCTTGCAAGCCTGTGTTCAGTATCTGTGCCTCTAATAAAGGCCAGTACCAGTTACTTTACAGGAAAATAGATGTGACTCTATGTTAAACTGGACCAATTGTCAGTGACATTGTGTGGGTTCATGAATGTAAGAGTTCATATTTTTTGATATTTTCTGAGAGTTTATCCCCCTGATCATTTTATAATTCTAGTTTTGATGCTGTAGCTATGCAAATGTATAAAATAACCTGTTTATGAATTTAAAAAAATACAAAACTAGTGTTGTATTAAAAAAAAAAAGTGTTGATAAACTTTGGGTTTTTCCTTTTGCCTTCATCTAGCAGAACAAATGCAAATGTCTGTGCAATATTTTTTGTAATTTCAAGATTTCTCAGTTTTTGTAAAGCGGGCATACTATATTAACTTCTATTTAGTATAGATACAGTATATTCTAAAGGCTACTTTTTGTTACAGACTTTTTGCTATGTAGAATGTAATCTTACTTATAAACTGTAGGGCATTTGTCCAAGGATATATGTGTTAGTGCTAAGTTGGACTTAAAATTATCTACAAGTGTTTCCAATAACTCTAGCTTGAGGTCACATGCAGTGTTGATGCTGAACTAATTGCTTCAGACAGTTTTTTCAGTGGGGACAGAATTGAGTAGGTTGTTTATAAGCAAGTGGTCCTTTGAACCTTTAGTCTCCCTGGTTGTTCTGTAGGAGATAAATGATGTTTAACCTTATATGCTGTGTCAAAGGCATGCTTTTCTACTTAGCCATGTTTAAATCACAAGGGTGTAGAGGATCTCATAATTGCTTGTGCCCATGAAGCTTAATGTCGAGACTTAGAAGTGATTCGCATCTTAATCAAGGAAATCTCAATCTATGTCTGATTATTGGTGTTTCTTTTCAGTGTTTGAGTTTCTTGCTTCCTGTTCTTATGAACTTGCATCCAAATTGCAAAGACTGAGGGAAAAAATGCAGTCTGAAGATATTTGTTGCCATCTTCAACTGCCCATTGCATATTTTGGAAAATCAAAAAGGTTTTGTTCCATCCACTATAAGGGAAAAGTAAAGCTATTGAAATCTAGTGTGTTCTTACTCTTTGTAAAAGGGAGAATCCCTTTTGTCACTGAAATTGCATGTGGTAGCACTATACTAGTTTAGGAGTAATGTTTGGACTAGGAGAATTAGCTGTCTCTTAAAATGTCACAGCTCTTTAGGGAAGATTGGCTCTGAGCAGCTAAGCTGTTTTTAAAATAATAAAACCTTACCTACACTGAATTATTTTTGTAAATAATTGATAATTTATTAACTTACTGTTTTACTCAGGTTAGATGTGGGCTTAATTATTACAATTTCTGAAGTCAGTATTCACTTGCTTTTAATAGAAACAAAGAGATGAACATTGATTTTCAGATTTAGTCAACCTTTTAAGAACCTATAGAACAAAAAAAAAAAGAGTGCTCTTGTGCCTTTAGAATGTGTAAGAAATCCAGACAATAAACAGTACTGGTGTAGTTTGTAACTGTGTGACTTCCAGCATGTCTGGAAGTTTTGGCAAAAATTGGACCTGTAATCTGAACTGATACGCATAAGAAGCAGCTAATCGGGTTTAAAAATAGTAGACTTGTTTAGACTGGCAATCTAATTAATTAAAAGAAAAAGTAAAGGGATAAATGAAATCATGCCTGAAACAGATTAAAACGTGAGACTTTGTTTTTTCCTCAGTAAAACAATGGCACGGAAACAAAAATTTTGCAGAGTTGGAGTGGCTTACATTTATGCTGCCTATGTAAATTGCACACATTTAATTTTGAAATGAAGTTCTCTATAAGGCCTTTACCTTTTTCATTTGAGGATACCAGTAGCAAAAAGTAAGCTTCCTATAAAACCAGAGTTTTCCTCTGAGTTCAAATGATATGTTCTTTCACTAATATTTGTTTTCATGCAGCAGAGAATCAATAGATTGTTCTCATTTTTTCCAGGTAAAATTAATTGTAAGTCTGTTTACTTTTGTAGTTAAGGGAAAAAAAGACTTAAACCAAAAAAAAAAAAGAGGCCTGAACCCTTTTTTCAAAAGTGCTGAGACCAGGGATTTATGTAGTGAATATAAATTAGGGGCTTTTTCAATTTTTATATGAAGGCTATTTGTGAAATATTATTGCTACATTTAAAAATACATTTCAGCTGTTTTTTCTAAAGCCAAAGAATTTTTTTAAAGTGAGTTTCGTCTGCATTTGTTCGATACATTTTCAAAACTGATTAAGCAAACGGCACCTTAATAATATAACCTATTGTAATGCCTTACTGTGGAGACTTGAGTCGATTTACTCCAAAGCGGAGATGAAGGGGAGATAGTCACTGAAATGGGATTAAACAGCAAGTGATGCTGATTTAGTTGTAATGTGTACATAAGCATTATTTGGGAATAAGTTTTACGTAGTGTGTGAGCATCCTCCACCTGTCGATGGGATGTCAAAAGTGCTTGGTCAAGATAGGATCTGTGTTGAAATGTTAGTCAGTTTGTGTGGTTCCGGTTGTCTCTGTCCACTTGCGTGTGCTCAGAATTCATCAACCTCCTTCAGAATATTTTTTTTCCTGCATCTTGCCTGTAGCTCAAGATCTGTGAGTATCTCAGATATTGACCCTTAAGATTGTCCTAAGCTCATATCAAGTGGTTGTGACATGTCCTGGCCTACCAAATACAAAGTGTTGACAAGTTGGAAAGATAACCATCTAAGCACACTCTGTTCCTCTGATACTTTGAAAGAGGGTGAAAACACGTTTTGGCCTCAGACAGCTTGGCCTTTTCACAGGAGAACTTTGCATTTGCTCCTTCAAGCCGCAGAGTATTTCACAGCACAAAAAAAACCTTTCTTGAGTACAAATGTGCCCTTTGTGGTCCAAACTTGCCCATCAGTATGTTGCTGATGGCTGATATTTGGGTTGTTGGACTGATGGAATTGCTATTCCAATTATTGAAGCATCTTGGAAATGAATGGGCAAAATAAACCCCCTTTGTGGCCCATGTTGAGGCAATCGTGTCTCTTAGTGGAGGGTGGTAGTGAGCAAAAGAGCGTATTTACTAGTAATGATGATGAGGGGGAATTTGCTCAGGTTGTTTCTTCCTTGGGTTGGCCCATAGGTTGAATGTGAGGTCTGACGCTAGGGTTTTACACAGGCTATGTCCAGGAAGGGCTCTTGGAAAGGCAAGACTGATGTTTGGATTGACCGGACTTGGCGAGTTGTCTGAGCTATTGTGACTAAGCTAGTGGGATGCTTGTTTCTTTGTTTGTCACTTAGGTTTTGTTTGAAGTGCTTCAGTTAGATTTGTAATGTCCTGAAGTGACGTGAACTGTTTTGAATGGTTTTGGACTGTTTTCTCTGGTGCTCTGAGCTTCTCTGAATATGCACTTGGAGGACTTCGCATGCATTTTGTTACATTCACATGCATTCTAGAGAATGCAGTTTGGAGGCTTTCACTATTTAATTTGCAAATGGTTGTTCAAATACTATTTTTACACAGAGGGAGTATGAAAAGTCTGTATGAAGGAGAAGTGAATTGCATCTTGTCCTCACTGGCACTCCGAGTGTAGAAAACACTGGGAAGTTCCACTCAATTTCTGTTGCCTGCCTCCTTTCCTACTTGGAGTTGGTTGAGTTTCACTTGTTTTGCCTCTGAGCCACGCAGAGTTGCCAGCAGAATGTCTGCTGTTCCTGAGCAGAAACATGGGCTGTTCCCCAAAGTGTGAAGTCATAAAAAAGGCTGAAGTCAAAAAGGAGGTGGATGCTTGGAAGAAACCTGAGAATAGGCAGTAACAGGAGATTAAAAAAGGAGTTGTGACTCCTCAGTTCTAGTCCTAGGAAATGTATATATAGGAAAATGAAAGTTTTCTCCTACAGTTGACTTGTTTTGCAAAGAAGAATGGTATGCATTGATTTTTTTATACATAGGTGGAAATAACCTCGAAGTCTTGCAATTAAGTTAATGGGAGACAAGCTAAAGTAAGAAAAATGAGTGTGAAGTGCATTACCATCAGTGCAGAGGCAGTTCAAGAAATTAATTGGATTATAGTAACTATTTGAAGGAGAATTCCAACTTTACAGTGATGGTAGTTAAAGGCTAGTTACTTAAAAATCTGAAATGCTGATGATATGCAATGGAAATGGTTTAATACTGTTTCAGTATAAAAACTGTTTTAAAGCAACTTCTTTTTAGAGAGGGCACCATTGTTTCATGAAACCTGTTTTGGTTTAACCTACAGATGTGTTTATGTAACAGATTCCTTATATTAGCTTGTAAAACCTTTCATTGTTGTCTTGCGTTGCACGCTTCCAGCCCCGGAAGTGTATTTTTGAATGAGCTCATTATTTTATCAGGTACCCCTTTCATAATGGGCGTCAATGTGTTCATGTATGGTAGGTCTGTTGTACAAAATAAAGAGATGTAGTTATTTCATTCAACCCTCTGCTTTTTTTACCTCATCTCCATCCTCCCAGAGCCAAGTCTGTCATGCACACCGCGTGTATAGCCGAGGGAGCACACTCTGTATATGCAAAAGCTCAAGGATCTTGCACAAGGAGTTTCTTTAACAATATATTATTGCTAGAGACATTATTTGTTTAGATCCTTGGGGACCTTGAATAAACAATAGGGTTTCACTGTGAGGGTGCTAGACAGATGATCTATTTGCATTTTCTTTTATGTTCTTGCAAATGTCTGTAAAACTGTCAGTTTGAAGGAGCCAGTTTATCAGTGAAAGGATAAGGAAGAGATAAGTCAGTTTAGTTCCACATGCTTGAAGTAGCTACTCCACTTACCCACATGTGTGTTGTGGATGAAAATACGCTACTGAAGTATTTTCAGAACAGTAGAATAAAAAGCCACTTCTTAGTTAAATAAAGCAAAAAAAAGTACTTCCACAAAACAAAATATGACTGCAAAAACCACTGAGCTAATCATGTCTAAAAAAAACCTGAAATTGTCAGCTGTGATAAGTCTGAGATTCACTCCTTTTAGTGAAATATATCTGAGTTTGGAATGTGGATTTAGGTGATGATAAGCATGAAGAAATTCAGGCCATAAATATTCTTACATAATCTTCAAAAAGAGTATCAGTTTATATAGGTGCCTGCCTTATGCTGTTGTCAAGTTCAAATGATCAGTGCTTTTTCTGTTATGTCTATATTTAAAAGTTGATTTTAACTTAAAACTTCAGATTTTTACACTTACACCTAATCTTTTATATACGGTTTGGTTTTATTTCTAGAAGAAGAAAAAGTAATGTCCTATCTGTGCTGACAGTGACTTCCTTTACCTCCCACTCTAGCCATTCTTGCCAGTGCCATTGTGTGTATAAATAGAAAGCCAAACAAAAAACCAACCTATCCCACAAAATAAACAACAAAACCACCAAGTTACCCCGGTTTGAGTGTGTCTCTTCAGTAGCCTTGTGATGGCTGTTAAGCCCTTCCACTGTCCTTGCAGATGTTTCCCATGAATTTTTTTCCAATTTTTCCTTCAGTTGTTTTACTTGTGGCTTAAAAATTACATTGAATTATTTTAACATAATTTATTGTAAAACTCATGCTACTGTGCTGCACTGTTAAAGTCTTGTTATTTACTGATAAAGTGATCCTTTTTATTTGCTATGTATTTCATATGGTGGGATTTTAGTTTATATGCTTTTGGCTTTCTAACATATCCAATAATCAGTGGATTACTGGTCACAGATTTTATACGTAGTCAAAGCATGCATGCATTTATATAACAAAACATTCTGCATGTGCAATCTGCATGTTGACAGGACTTTTCTTATTTTGAAGGCTTTGGATTCCATTTCTGTTTTGTATTCCGTTGTGAACTACCCAGGTTCCCTTATGGGTGGTGTATGGGCTTAGGTCCACTAGCAGCTTGTTTCCAGAGAGGCTGGATGTAACGGAGATCACTCCAGTGTAGGTGGGACGATCGGGGAATTTTTCTGCAGTTGTAGTTCTGAGAAAGGTCGTGACGTCTTTGCTAAGGTAGACGCGAGAACTGAAATCATTAAACTCTTTCCTTTCATGTGTGTGTTTGTGTTTTTTTTTTCCTTCCCCCGCTCTCCTTCACCCCCTTTCCAGCAACCTAAGAAACTGGCGAGGTGAGAGGAAAGAGAATAGGACAGGGTCTAAGGTTGGAAAGAGATAGGATTGCAGATGGACTAGAAGCAGTCATGCTCTTGGGAAATGCACAGAAATCTGTCTGCTAAGATTCATTCCTCTCTATAGTTTGGAATGCAATGCAAGATTTGTGAGTCACCATTCCTATCCTGGCAGCAAATATCTGTGAAATCTCTGGCTGTCTTGCTTGCCCCCTCTTCATCATCGCTAATACCAATCCATTCTGCAGTGTGGACGTTGTATTTCTCTTTATATACCGAACAGCAGAATTTAGTATTTACAGATTCCTACTCTGCTGATGAGAGCCATGGAGTGTCAATTTGACATAACACAATTGCAGTGGGTTGTGGTTTTTTTTTTTTTTGAAGCGTAGGATACATAAATGACCCCCTATCAGCCTTTGAATAATTGATGTGGCAAAGTTAATAACTCATAAATGAGGTTATACCACCGCCATCATGCTAATGATGCTGGCAGTGCAATGGAGAATTTTATCGTAGCTGTCTTTGTCAGAGTCCCAGTGTTGCAAAAATTTAAGCCAGGCTGTTGAAAATACCTACTAATTTTGTATTCTGCCACATTTTGACACGAACGTGTTTTAATTTTAGACAAAAAAAGAATGAATGTTTTTTTGTGCAAGTTACTTGAAATTGGATGAGCACTTCCAGTAACAAAAAGAGATGCTTTAGATTTTTACCGTTTTGCTTTATCTTGATATGTACTAGTTATATTAGCATGTATTAGTACACTACAGGTGTGTTAAGGTTGTAAGACATTATTTGTATTCACTGCTTAAAGTTATAAGTGTTCTTAAATTTCTTCAGAGGGAATCCTGTCTTATAAGGCCAGAAGGCATCACTGCAGTCCACTCTGGCTTCTTCACAAAGCAAAATGCAAGGCCTCCTTGAATTACTTTCCGTTTGTGCTAGAACAAAAGCTTGCCATGGCACACCTGGTAAATAGGAAAGTAAGTAAATAGAAGTCTTATGGCAAAAAAGAGTTTGCGGTACAAAGAGGTGAAAAGTTTTACCTAGTCCTCACAAACACCTGAAAACCATGGTTTCTCAGAGGTTTTAGTTTCTTGTCCAGTTGTTTAACCTCTGGCATGCTTTCTTATGTAACTTGTTTATTTATTACTTTCTCTTGTAGGAAGAGGATCGTCGAATTCGAAATTGCCATCTGTACCTACGGTTTCTTCGGTGCCTGAGGATTCTGCTTCAAATATGAGGTAATGTCTTCAATTGAACGTCTGAACAGCTGTGCCGTGGCTCACTTTTTTGACGTTAAACTTTATATTCCAATTCCATATCACTTATGTTCAGTACCTAATAAAGGTTTGTGAAGATGACTGTTGGATTATTGATGCCTTCTTATACGTGTGTATCACTTGAACATTGTCAAAAACTATACTCCTTTCTACAAAATTTCAGCAACTTCCTTCTTTTTTTTAATCATGTGTATCTCTCTACTAGTATTACAGACAGGCTTGAACATGCGCTGGAAAAAGCTGCCCCACTTCTGAGAGAGATTTTTGTGGATTTTGCTCCCTTTCTTTCTCGGACTCTTTTGGGCAGCCATGGGCAGGAGTTGCTGATAGAAGGTACAAGTAAGTTTCCATTTAAAAAAACTGGGGGTTTACGTATGCTTTGTTTTACCTTGGAGATGGAAAATTTCTATCTTTTTTTCTGCTGGCTCTGCCTTAGAAGCTTTCTTCCTGCCTTCCCACACAGTGCTGTCCACTTGATTTCACTGCCTGCTCCTTTCTTTAGACCACTGAGGTCATAGTCATTGCCACCTCTGCCTGCATCTCATGGTTTCCATTGTCTCATTATGCGGGACAAACTGCTGTTGTCTCTTCCTTAGTTTTCACACTCTTTTAGGGAATTGTCCCATAGAAGCTGGTGGGTGAAATGTGGTTTGTGAGCCTTAAAAAGAAAACTTGGTGTCAGGGTCAACACTTTGATATAAAGTATAGAGTGTAGTGTAGAAAGTAAAGTGCAAAAACCTTGCGTTTTTGCCATGATATTGTACCAGAAGGCTTCTTGGGAACTATGTCAGCTGAGCATGTTACGGTGTATCCCTTGCACGTGAGTTTGCTTCTGTCTTTTTGGTTTCTAATTGGAAGGCAGACCTACAGGTTAGGGGAATACATTGCCAGTACTGAGAAGAATGGTGCTGTACTTGGGAGAATATGAAGATTCAGGTGCAACAACTGTCATGGCTCTTCCTGGTCTTGGCTTAGAATGATGGAACTTCAGATGACTGAGTTTTCTTTCTGCTGGTGGGTTCCTCACTGTTTAAAAATGAGGCTCAGTTCTGCAATGCAGACATTACCGTCCTCAGTTTAAAAAATCAGGTTTATTGGAACACTCTGAATTTAGTGGTGAACACAGTTTTTCGTTTTTCTCCTGGTTTGGTTATATCGTATTAATTGCTGTGTCCACAGTGAATATTGCAGGTTTTGCCCAGTTAGAGAAGTAAATTGAATCAGGGGCTGAGCTTGTTGCAGATTCCAGTAATGAAGCATTCCCATGTTAGAAGCTCATGGTTGCTTAGCTTGAGCTGATGCGTGCACATGAGATGCATTTGCACTAATAGATCTGGTTTCTTTCTAGGGTTGTGTTTTGTTTATTTTTTTAAAAAACATGTTTGAAACTACTTGTTCTGTGGATTAGGACAGGGATCCTGTATGTAGTGCTGAATACAGTTAACATTCTCAGGAACACAATTAGAGTATCAAATGCTGGTAAGTGTTTTACTGAAGACTGCTGATGTCAAAATTGAGACTTCATTAAACTTCACTGACACTGAAGTTAGTTTGGGAATTTAGCTTGCCTACCTTTTGGGGTAGGAAGAAGTGGTGGGAAGAAGTGTATGAGTTGTCTTCTGTAAGACTGAGAAAGATGGGAGTCTACTTTCGATTATACATGTGGGCATCACTTTAGCTGATAAACATTTTAATGGAAGCTCCCCTGTGAATAAATTTATTTCATTCATTTAATAAGAATAACATGAAAGAGATGTTTATCAAAGCTTTATTTGCCAGAGAAGTAAATATCCTGTTTAGTGACATTTTTTTTTTCTTCTGTGAAGATAAAGAAAATATAATCTAGTTTCAAAGTATTTTGATTGGAGTAGAGAGTATATACACAGAGATGAGCATTTCATAGATTGGATGACCGAAAAAAGGCAGGAAGATTATTGAGAGTGTATGAACTGTCTAGACAAAAATAAACGCACAAAATCAATTTTTTGTCCTAAAAACCAGTTACAGACAAACCCAAAACAAAATGTGAATGCAAATAATAAAATTAGTTTATAAACAGTTGAGAATATATAATAGGTTATTGCTTGCACTTCTGCTAAGGTTTAGTGTGGGGTTAAGGGTCAAAGTACTAATAAGAGTGTTTGGGATGTCTGCTGCCATGAAACAAAATGGAAACTTGATTGATAGCTGGGGGCTGAAAGGAGAACGCGCAACGGAGAAAGCAAAGGTCATAAAGCCATTTCCCTTCTCTGCATATATAATGACCCAATCCTTCAAGAAATAGCAAAATGTAGATACAGTGGGTTAATATAACATATGTTAACCACGCTTCTGATCATTTTGACATACAAACATTTATGAAACTGTGAGTAATGGAGGTAATGCATTACTATTAGCCGCATCTTTAGATGCGAGGCCTGGAATTTATGATCTCCCTCTCACATACATACTTTTATTTTGTGCTGATAAAGTACAAAATTGAACTGGAAGTGGTATGAGAATTTCTGCTTTCTTTTGATTGTCAAAATGCTCCTAATCTATTGCAATTCAAAATAGTTTGTGTTCACAGCTGGTGCCATAGAAGCATGCATTTATCTATACCATTTTTTCCTGTTGTAGGTCTTGTATGCATGAAATCTAGCAGTTCAGTTGTGGAGCTGGTGATGCTGCTTTGCTCTCAGGTGAGGTTTCAGTAACAGCGTTGTCTGAAATTGCTGTCTTTGAGCGCTCTGTAAATTACAGTTAAAATTTTACTTCAGGTTTGACTTTAAAGTTATGTGTAAGAGGTAGAAAGATTTTGTGCAAGGCCTTTTGATTAAAAATAAAAATTTCATACTAGTTGTGTCTGTTCAGTTGGAAGGAGAGGATACTAAGGGTTTTATGTTACCTCACTATTGAGCATTTACATAACCTTGATGGTGGTGTGCCTGAGTAATTCTATACTGTCATTTTGTAAGATAAAATAGGATCAATAAAATAGTAAGGTTATAGAAACAGATTGATTTCTGCATCTTGACATGCTGAATCCTCTGGGATGAATAGAATTTTTCCTTTTGTGTAGAGGTTATAAAATGAGTGATAAATACTTCTGAAACCCTGTCATTCTTAATTGATTTGACAAGTACTAAGAATTTGAGGAAAATTTAAGAAAGCAACCCTGGTTGTCAACAGTTTGGGACATACTACATTCCTAAAGGCAAAGTGATTTTAGGTATTTAAGAACTTGAGAATTGCCTGTTCCCATGGATAGAAAAGAGCCGGAGCCTGAGGATCTTTCTTAAAATTGTATATGCTATATTAATTGGGTTTTCTTTTGGGATTTCTTGCTTTCTTTTTTGTAATTAAATGGAAGGCTGTTTTTATTGAGCCTTTCTTTTGGTGCCTTAAAAATGATACCTTTCTGGTAGTAAATTCCCCTACTTAAAACTTTAAAATAGCCTTTTTTAATGGGAATGGTATTGGTCTCGAGGTCAAGGGTTCTGACCCATTTCAAAACCTTTGACCTTCATTTATAACCCTCATGGTTTGCTTGCCTGACGAATAAGGATAATGCAAAATTAATGTTTCTTCACATCGATTTATTCGTTTTAGTGCCTATATTGCCAAATTTATTTAGAGTGTGCTGATAGACATTTCATGAATACAAATGAAAGAATCATAGAAGGTGTGGAAGATCGATAGTCTGCATTGTCAATAAAGTGCAATATGAACAATTACTTCTGGAGATTACACCTAATAGATTTTACAATGAACTAGTGAAGAGTAGTTATGTTTTCTAGTGAGCTTATTATTAATGAATGTATCTAGAACTTTGCTCGTCTAGTTTTCCATCTTCCTCGGGAAATAAAATACATTTTTACCCTGAAAGGAATTTTATATTCTTTACGGAACTTTTGGAATTTAGAGGTGGTTATTTTACATATGGCAATAGTGGAAGTGGACATTGTTCACAACTGCTGGAATACAAATTTGCTGCTGATTTACATTAGATAAGAATCATTCTTACCAAGAAATCCATGTACAAGTTTTACTCCTCATTCATTAATGTGTTAGAGCAAAACTAATCTGAGTATTAAATATGTGCCTGACAGCTTGATATTGTTATTTTAAAAATTAGTTTTTGCTATCCATGCTGCTTGTATCGATAATTCCTGGTTGACCTTTCCTTCTTTTTGATAGGGTAATCTAATCTTTTTTAAAAATCATGTTGTGCTCTGTACTGTATGTCACTTGTTTGGTTTTGGGAAGTGGAAGGGGTAAGGGATAAATGACGTGCTCTAATGCATCTATTTGTCATATGTGTCACAATGCCACTTAATGCTAATCTAATCAAATTGAGGATATCGTGATCGCTTAGCAGTGCTGGTTGCCGAGCGCGAGGTTGCTCCTTGTGAAAGAGTAGAAATAAACCGATGAAGTTGCAAAGAGCTCAAAGTCTTTTTAAAGTTACACAGCAGCTGTAATTTTTGGCAGAATATGAAAAATGATGTGAGAAATGAATCTAAAATTAGCTCCAGATGTATACAGATTGTTCTGGGGTGATAATTACATTTTTCACTTTGAATTTTCCTAATTCAAAGAGGTCAGCATGGCAATCACAGAAGTGATTTATTTTGTTAAGAAGTGAACTGTCTTTTGCTACATGAAAGCTTGAGAGATATGAAATTGAATTTCAAGATGACATTTTACAGATCCTGGGAGGAGATAGGGTTGAGCTTGATTGATTTTTTTTTTTTCTTTTCTTTTTTTTTTTTTGGCCCAAGATAGGGTGGGAAGCGAAGTGATACCCTTTTGCTAAAATTTTAATTAATTTTTAAGAGGAGATGGAGAGGATGAAGTGCCAAAGATCAAAAGATCAGGTCAAAAACTAGTTTTTAATCACATAAATAATGTGGCATAGTTACAAAGTAAGTATCTGCAAATTTGATTTAAAACTTCACAAATTTGTCAGCCATCATTTTATGAAGTTGAAGGATTGCTCTGATTAATATCTTTGGTGGTTTTTATGCGAACCTCTTTCTGAAAATATCTTTTAAACATTGTATATGTGATGTAAGCACTTGGATTGTTTTTCTGAAACATCTGAAATTTTTCTGATGTTTCTTTAGGTTTGTGGCTGGAATATATGTTTTTCTTTCTCAGTTGTGCAGCATGGAATAATAATACCACAAGTAATTTTTTCATAAAATTGTGGAAATAAAGGTCTTTCCCAGGTGAAGCGAGTAAATACAAAACAAAAATTAAACAAACAAACAAACAAAACCAACAAAAAACCAAAACCAAACCACCAAAACCATGAAAAGTTACAATTTGCTGAACCTATTTGTGACACCTGCTTCATTTCTTCTCTTGATCCTATGTTTAGACACATGGAAAAAGACCACTGCTTTTGTGTTTTAGCTTTGTTGTTTATATGTTGATACATTGTTTCATGTGTAACACAAGGTAAAAAGAGAAACGGGGTTTGAGATACAGACAGCAGGCTTTTGCGAAGACAAAAACAGTTGTGTTTTTTGATAGACACGCCACATTTTGAAACGTGTCTCTGTGTGTATACTTACATTTATATAAATCCATCAGAACGTAAAGAAATCCTTCATTTAATATTACTGCAAAGTGTTCCTGCTTATTTGACATTAATATCATTTTTGAAAGAATCGACGTTGCATTCAAGGCCACTTTATAAAAGCGTTGTGTTGCTCATCCTAATTCAGTCTGACACACATTCCAATAACACTACCTCCCTTCTAGGGTTTAAAACTAAATTTATGGCTGAGCATTGTGAAGTGCATCATTTAAAAATGGTTTCAACCCAAAACATCTAATAAATAAATAATGTGTATGGCTACTCAGTAGCAGACTTTCCAGACTAGAAATCATTCCATCGGATACTCAACAGTCCACTATCGGAGAGGGCTGTCAGATAAATCTTATAGTAGCTGCATTCATGTCCTGTAAATCACATGTTATTGTCTGAGCCTTCTGCCAGGTCATCTATTCTTTTCCCATTTATCAGAAATGCATACAGTACAGTGAACCTAGAAGCACCATCTAGTCTGGCCTGGCATCCTGTCAGGGTAATTAAACTAGCCAAAAGAGAGAAGTCCTGTACCTATTATCTCTTTTAAATGAGCTGAAGGTGCTCTTATGCTACTGTGACACACGACTTCTGTGTGGGGAAAATGTCATATCACTCCTGAATAAAGCATTTTCCTCTAAACGGAGTTTCACTCCACGCCTAAAACGCAAAGGGGCATGTAAGAATTGAGTGCATGTTTATCCATAAAGCAAATATGCTACTGTGCATGTTTAATTTGTCAAATGTTTTCTTGGAAGATGTGACTCAGTAGCAAAACCTGTGGTCTTCCCTGCTCTTTCGTGAAGGTATTAAAAACATTCGTCCGTTGTTCACGTGCATGAAGAACTTGTCCCATAATTGTAGCTCCAAGGTGAAAAGGTACAAAACCAGATGAGATAGGTCCCATAATTTTCTCTGATGCCTTTGAATTTACAACATTTGCAACACGTGAAAAATGCTTCTTTCTGTAGTAAATAAACTGAATCGTCAGTGGAATATGTGTAAGAACTAATTAGGTGGTTCTTGTCAGATCCATCTTCAACTTAGGAGCTTGTTTCTACTGAATCGAAATTTCCTAGACTATGGAATAAACTTTCACTAACTGACTCAAACACTGTTCAGCTCTTGTATAGTTTTCTAAAATCGGTGGAATGCCACCAAAGCTTTTTAAAAGTTTGCAATTAGAAATGAATGAAAACTGCAGCAACTTTTATGACCCCTCCACCACCACTACTCACACACACCCCCAGCTTGCTTGTTTAAGGTATAAAAGCTTGAAGGTTCCTCCTTCCTCTGACCCCTGTTGTTTCACAGGGATTAAGGGCACATTCTTAATATCTGATGGCATACATAAAACCAAGACCAATGTTTTAGTACGTTTAATCTCTAGGTATTTTATCTTCTAGAAATACTAATATGATATATTGCAATATAACTACGTATCTGTAGCTATTAGATTTACATTGGACCTTGATAAAGTGTATCTTTCACGGGGAGGTGGAAGTGGGAAGCATAAACTCTATTGCTACAGACTTTGTGTGCAGTGATAGCATCTGCTCATATGGCCTACGGAAATAGGATTATGGTTGAATATGTCATGTGTTGTGCTGATAGCTTTTGGAGTTATTTTTTGGAGAGAAAAGCATAATCCAAGGCAGTGTATGTGCATCTTAAAAATACAGCAGAGGCTGATTAGTAGTATTAAAGCAGAAAAAATTACGCTGTGAAAGTTGGTCTTACTGCCTCTGTAGGCTAACTTAGAGGTCTTCAGCGGTCTCTTTTTTTCATGTCTAACTCAACTCACCAAACCAGTTATCACTAGTTAAATGGTGACATGTTTGCAAACGGTCTTTCTTTAGCATGGTCTTTCATATTCTACTAGATTGCTTTGCTAACGGATTCCGTTGCTCATAAAGAAGTCAATATTCGTCTTTTGCATAGGCAGTTGCATTGTATCTCTTACTCCGATAAGGAATCTTAATTACTTAATATCAATGTGTGCCATGCAGTCATGCACCGGTACAAACAATACAATAGTGTTATTTCCGCTAAGGAAGAGTAATAGGATGGTAGTTAAGATTTTGATTTTTCAGCAGGTATTTT